TTCTGCTGCAAGTCCGAAATTCCGGAGAGATACTTTTGAGTGATTAGCCTCCTGATCTCTCGCAGCGTTCACGGCTACGCCTGCGTTGCTTCTTCTGGCGCATGTGAAAATAGGCCGAAGGCAAGGGTAATAGGCGACTCGAAAGCAAACCGCGCGAAGGCATCGGGAGGATTCAGCTGGAGTAAGGACTCTGCAAGACACATCAGCACGCAGCAGCAGGTCTCAGGGCACATCAGCAGCGCGCCATCCAGCAGCGCGCCATCAGGACTCAGGCAGGACACATCAGCAGGCATCGAGCATCAACCAGCTTCACAGGCATCAACGCGCAATCATCAGGCGAGCAGTATACGACAAACAGGATATCAACCGGCGATTATCAGGCGATAACCAGGCGATTATCAGGCGACAATCAGGCATCATGTGCATGGGGATGCATATGACCTTCTACTGGGGCGTGGACGCCACCATCCTCTTCTCCTCATGGCACACGCGCACACTCCCGCAGTACTGCATCGCCCTCGCTCTTGTCGCGCTCTCTAGTATCGCGTACGAGGGCCTTAACTCGCTGCGGATCAACGTGGCTGCGGGAAAACTCGCGCGGGCGAACTCCACTGTCACCGACGAATTCACGACCACTCCACTGTAAGATTGCCTTGCTCTTGTTTGTCGCGCCGGCCTATATCGCGTACGAGGGCCTTGTTTCCCTCTGCGTAAAAGTGACAGTGGGAAGCCCGGCCCGGGCGAGCTCTGGCACGGCCAATCCTCTGTCATTCCCGTCATGCCATCCTTCAAAACACGGGATTCTTAGGCCCCTGGATTATTCCGCGCAATCAAACTTGATTCCCCTGGACGACTTACGCCGCTGATATTTTACCCCTCTTGGTATAAAGATTTCATTGGTTTCTGAGCCCCTTGGAGTCCCTTTTTGTCGTCTAACCCCTGCTCTTATCTCTGTGCCTTGTGCCTCAGGCTTACTGGGACCTCTCGCCCCCCGGCCCAGCTATCCTGGATGGATAAGCTGCCTCTCTCCCTGCTGTACATTGCCACGTCAGCCCTGGCCTACCTTCTCATGCTTTCGGCCATGTCCTTCAATGGGGGGATCTTCCTGGCTATCGTCGCTGGGCTAGGTGTGGGCCATTTTATGTTTGGACTGAATCGAGCAAGTCTTGCCTCTCAAGCCAATGCAGAGTCGTGCTGTGCGTAGTGGTAATGCCTGTCTTGTGCTCTAATGAATGAAAATGATTTAACTCAACTTATAGAAGCTCTGAATATTTCTAATGCACACTGCTTCCACAACATCCTGTCATATTCTAGGTTGTAGTGTACGCATATGACGTGTGCCACTAAGGAAATGCAGGTAAACAAACTACTCTTGAAGGAGAGATGAGTACACGTGAATGTCATATATTTAAGGTTCTCTAACACGGAGGAAATCTATATGGATTCAAATAATGAGAAACCATGGCGAACGTTGGGAAAGCACATTTGGGGAAGGAAGCAAGGAGAACCTGAAATTATGGGTTGTTACTAGAATATAACATTGTGAGAAACTACAGTGCCGTTATAACGAAACTTTATTTCCCGCAGCAAGTCGTAGCTGCGATGGTCCTCTGATTACGCGTCGTGCCAAGTCGCATATGCGACCACGATACACCTCATCAAACCAGGAACTCTGACGACCCATGCGGCCCATCGACGGTAGGCCAATGCTTTTCCTCAACGAACATTGTCCATCCAACGGCTCTATGAACTTTCTACGACGCACGGAACGACAGGAGGCGGGCTTTGTGGGTGGGAGGGAAATCTGACAGAGCAACACCCTCACTTTGGCCGTTCCAGAAGTGAAGCATGGTAGGAGTTGGACCTGTTTTGTCACACTCACATTTGAGGGTCTTCCTCACTCTGACGTTTTCACCTTGTTTGTATTGGAGAGCATCCCAAACCAAGACCTAGAGCACAGATTCAGTAGCTTGTAGCTTGCAGATCGGCGCAGGGTGTTCTTTCGCTGCGTCCTCCGTACACAGTTTTCTCACTTCATTTCTTTGCCTGCTTCCATGGCCGACCAATTGTCGGAGGATCAGATTGCGGAGTTCAAGGAAGCTTTCAGCTTATTTGACAAGGATGGAGATGGTGCGTTCGGTCTTCAGGCATTGGCGAATGGTTGTCTCTCCTTTTATGCAGAGTGATGAAGGCAACAGCGTAGTAAAGCTCTTCTGTTATTGTAGATCTGGCCTAAGATGTCACTCTGGCTTTCTTCACAGGTAGCATTACAACGAAGGAGCTCGGAACTGTCATGCGGTCTTTGGGACAGAATCCGACTGAGGCTGAGCTTCAAGACATGATCAATGAAGTCGATGCGGATGGAAACGGGACGATCGACTTTCCAGAGTTCTTGAACTTATGGCGAGGAAAATGAAGGTGAATATTTTTCTTTTCGGTGCATATGTATATTCAGCCAGTCATGATGAAACCTTTCTGAGATCTCCAAATTTATTGATTCCAGGACACGGATTCTGAGGAGGAGTTGAAGGAGGCGTTTAAGGTGTTCGACAAGGACCAAAACGGGTTCATTTCGGCGCAGGAGGTACGCTGGTGCTGGGTTGGATTGGCTCGATCATGTTTTCTTCCTCAGCGGTTTAGTTGTCTAATGCCCTTACGCAACCCTTGTATTTTTGGCAGCTTCGACACGTGATGACGAATTTGGGAGAGAAGCTGACAGATGAGGAGGTTGATGAGATGATTCGAGAGGCTGATGTGGATGGTGATGGACAGGTGAACTACGAAGAGTTTGTGAAAATGATGATGGCAAAGTAGGCTAGCTTGACTGTATTATCAGTAGTCATTTTCAGTGGCGCTTCTCAGGCTCAAATGAAAAGTTTAGACCAGTATGTGTAGGGTCCTGAATTGAAAGTGACCATGATGCTTAGCTTACGTGACTTGGTCCAGCCCCCGTACTGTAAAGTTCATATTTATTGGCATTAGAGTTAAGAAACAAATTACACAAGCATCTGCACAAGGGTTTTGTAGAATGGACGTATTCTTGGTGGTTGTGATGGGATTCTTAGGAAGTCGTAGTGTTTCAATAGTGTACCCTCGTCCCCATCACAAATCCGAGTCATCAGGAAGTCTGGGAGGGTTTCTTCCTTACTGTCAGGTCCCAATTCAGCGTGCTGCAGACATCTCCCACCAGTAACTCGCTTCTAGGGCCTTCTGCCTGCCGTCTCTAGGGTGCTTAGCTCTCATTTATCCTCGGCTTTGGTTACGGTCGGGGTCCCCAGTTTTTTTACGAGAGATTCTGTTGAGATGGCCGACCAGCTGTCTGAGGATCAGATTGCGGAGTTTAAGGAAGCCTTCAGCTTATTTGACAAAGATGGAGATGGTGCGTTGGTCAGATTTTGCGTATGAGCTGGTGCAGGCTTCATGACGAATTCCACCTGCGAAGTATTGAACGATGCTGTCTTATCGTTTAGTGCCAGGCATGGATCTCAACTTAGCATGTTTTCCCTGGGGTGTCCACAGGCAGCATCACAACGAAAGAACTTGGCACCGTCATGCGGTCATTGGGACAAAATCCCACTGAGGCCGAGTTGCAAGATATGATTAATGAGGTCGACGCTGACGGCAACGGCACGATTGACTTTCCCGAGTTCCTGAACCTTATGGCGAGGAAAATGAAGGTCAGTATTCTCTATGTATTATCGTCTAGACATTCCAGGCCGCTTTGTAACCCTCAAGTTCGTTTTACTTCAGGATACCGATTCTGAAGAGGAGCTGAAGGAAGCATTCAAGGTGTTCGACAAAGACCAGAACGGCTTTATTTCGGCGCAGGAGGTACGTGGGCCCTGTGTACATTGGTACGCCAGGAGTACCTTGGAAAATGAAATTCATGTTCATTGAGAATTCCTTTTCCTGAAATTTCTACACTTTATCCTGCAGCTTCGGCACGTGATGACGAACCTGGGAGAGAAATTGACAGACGAGGAGGTTGACGAGATGATCAGGGAAGCGGATGTGGACGGAGATGGCCAGGTTAATTATGAGGAGTTTGTGAAGATGATGATGGCGAAATAAGTCAAGCACAATCCATCCTCGTCAAGCACAATCTCTCTTAATTTCCTTCTTCCTCAGCTGCTGACTGGGTATCCTGAAGCCCCCATTCTTGTCCCAGGTTTGGAGCTTAGGGATGCTCACTCAGCCATGGACAACACTTGTGAGCTCTGATGTTCTGCCTTCAATTCCTGTCGGTGCAGTAGTGGGGTAGATGCCTCTTGGTTTCCACAGGGTTGTAAAACAGTACCTAGATTCAATCGTTAGGTCTGAAACGCTGATGCTGGTTGTTGCTCTGTACAGCACTAGGTTCAGAAGCGATACTCAGCTGGCTGGATCTGTGCATAACGCATTTGTTACAACATTGCATTGAATGAAACATTGTGCCCGATTATTTTTTTTGGGCTTTAAGGAGATCCCAGGAGGAAAACGTTGTGCCGGAGCTCCAGCAGTTGCCATGCTTCACTGAATGGAGGGGTGGTCATTGTTTGCCATCCCTAGGATCACTGGTGAGATCATTGAATGTCTCAATTGCCTTCTGAGCCAGCCTTGTCACTTCATAGTCCACCATTGCCTGCAGGAGGGAACGAGCGGCAGATGCACGAGCACGTGGAAGGTGAGAAATGGAGGAAGCTGCGGAAACCCTATTGGAGTGGTGAAATCATTGAATGCCATTCCTAGGATCACTGGTGAGGTCATTGAAAGTCAATCGCCTTCTGAGCCAGCCTTGTCACTTCATAGTCCACCATAGCTTGGAAGGGGGAACAAAGTGCAAGTTTCAAGAGTGTGAAACCATTGTAGGTGGGGGGGGGTGAATGTTGGGGAAGTGGGGTTCGAAGGTAGAGCGAAAAAATAATGAGAGAGGGGAGATATGGGAAAGAGTGAAAGGGCCTAATCTGGAAGTTCGGCAGGAAAACCGAATGCAACGCTCGTTCCTCAGCATGTCAGAGTACACCTGGTACCACCCGCTCCCAGGCGTCCACAGCTCCATAAAACCCCCCAGCCCCTGAAGGCCTGCCATAGCAGTCACCACCACACCACACCACTCCATACCACTCCATACCACAGCATACCCTTACATACCTCCATGTAGGAATCGAATACCACGTCTTTCCCCAGCATGTCCGAGTACACCTGGTACCATCCGCTCCCGGGCGACCACAGCTCCTTGAAATCTTGCAGCAGCCGCACGTTGAACTTGTCTTTCAGCGGATCGAAGAAACCGGGCGAGCGCTCGTCCGTGGAGACGTAGAGAAACCGACCCGGTTGAATCAGCTCAGGCAACCGTTTCAGCAGGCTGGAAGGGAGGGGGAGAAGGGGGATGGGGACAAGGGGAGGGGGAGAAGGGGGATGCGGGAAGAGGGGAGGGGGAGAAGGGGATGCGGGAAGAGGGGAGGGGGAGAAGGGGGATGGGGGACAAGGGGAGGGGGAGAAGAGGGATGGGGGAAGAGGGGAGGGGGAGAAGGGGGATGGGGAAGAGGGGAGGGGGAGAAGGGGGATGGGGGAAGAGGGGAGGGGGAGAAGGGGGATGGGGGAAGAGGGGAGGTGGAGAAGGGGGATGGGGGAAGAGGGGAGGTGGAGAAGGGGGATGGGGGAAGAGGGGAGAACTCCTTGAGGACGCCGGGGTGCAGGGGACGCCGGGGTGCAGGGGTATGAAAGAGGTGAAGTGGAAGGGGTGATAATTTGAGAAATCCCCCAGCACTTGAGAAGACCACAGCTCCTTGAAATCCCCCAGCAGCCGCACGTTGAACTTGTCTCTCAGCGGATCGAAGAATCCCGGCTAGCACTCGTCTGTTGACACGTAGAGAAACCGGCCGGGTTGGATCAACTCTGGCAGGCGCTTCAGCAGGCTGGTGGAAACAGGGGGGAGAGAAAAAATCTCGGAAAAAAAAAAAGGAGGTTTCAAGAAGCCCTGAGTGTGCCTGGTGTTTGCCTGCTGAGCCGAAGAGAAACAGGATCAGTTGGATTAATTCTGGGAGGCGTTTCAGCAGGCTGGTGGAAACAGGGGGGAGAGAAACCATGTGACCCATCCCACGTGTAACCATGTGACTTTACATGCCATATAACCCTATACATATCACCCCATACATATCACCCCATACATACATATCACCCCATGTCACATGCCACGTCACATGCCATGTCATCGTAGTGGCTGTTGCTCTTATGGAGTGGCCCATCCCCATGCGTTGCTGCTAGCAAGGTGACCTGTGAGTCGACTTGAAAGGCACATGCACCACATGGTAGTTGCTGTTGATCATCATACATACCGGTACACCCCACATGCACATGCACAAGCATGTTGTGTTGACATTCATGCCCCGTGTACTTTGAGTCGACGCAGCATGCGTCACAGTTGTTGCTGTTGTCCAACATGCATGTTGACGCACCTTTCAGCTCGTGTGTCCTTGTCAAGGTTGGGCCACCTCTTGGAGTCCCGCGCCTTGTCCCCCCCGCCGAACGTGCACCGCATACACACACACACACCATGCATAACAACCACGTGCACCTGATATCTCATCACATACGCATCAGCTCGTGTGTCTTTGTCCAAGTTGGGCCACCGCTTGGAGTCCAGCGCCTTGTCCCCTCTCCTCACGTGCACCACATCGTAGTTGCTGTTGTTCATCTGGAGGGTAATGTTGGAAATTACCCACTGGATCTCCTTTTGCATGGGCAGCAGGGACCAGTTGCGGGGGAGCGACTGGCATGAGAGAAACAAAAAAAAACGGAGACAGAGGACAGACAAGGGGAAGGGAGGGAGGGAGGGAGGGAGGGAGGGAGGGAGGGAGGGAGGGAGGGGGGTGAGAAAGATTGGAGGAGAGTTAGAGGCGCACACAGCAGACCCAGCGGGTGTCCCTTAGAGTTGACTCAAACAGCATTACACACTGGATCTCCTTTCGCATGGGCAGCAGGGACCATTGGCGCGGGAGGGAGCGACTGGCGGGTGGGGAAGAAACGAGAAGTAAACGAGGCTGGTGACTCGGGAACCCAGAGGAAACGAGAGTGGGGAGGAATAACCGAGAAAGCAAATCTCAGGATGAGAAAGAGCGGAGTGTGTAATGAGTCGACTCAAAAATCGACTCATTACACGCAAATCTCAGGAAGAGAAAGAGAAGGAGGGGAAATGGATGTGCAGGGAAAAATCCGAATGATCAGCTGCACTTCCCTGCTCTCCCCCACCCCCTTCTCCGTTACTTCTCTTGAGGCGCCTCAAAAGTTACTTCTCTCGCCCTCTGTCATCCCTCCGCCCCTCCTCTGCAAATACTGGGAAGGAGGGCTCTCCCCCAACCCCCTTTTCCGGGAAAGGGAGGGAGGGATGACAGAGTTACTTCACTCGCCCTCTGTCATCCCTCCCTCCTTCCCCCCTCTGCAAATACTGTCTCTCGCTCGCCCTAGCATACCTTTTGAGGCGCCTCAAAAGTCATACCCTAACCTAAACCAGCAAGAACCCCTGAATCCACCACAACTCACCACTCGCTCAGGTGCATGGCAGGCTGTGATTCCAAAGTCCAAAGCCCAAGTGCACAGATTTTGGAATCGCGGATCCCCCACACATGGCCTCAGTGCACTCACGACACTGTAGCATGCATCATCACAACTCACAGCGCCCTCAGGTGCATCGCAGGCATGGGTTCCGTTTTTTATAATTCTAAATAACAGCGATCCCAAATTTGATGCAGCAGTGAGATTGCAAACTACCAGCTGAACATCCCTCCTCTCGCCCTCAGCAAGTCAAATTTCTAGCCCTTGCACCCTCGAACCCGAAAACCCGAAACCCACAAGTCTCCGCTGCGGCGCCGGCCCCTCAGGAGCGTCGCAGGCAGCGAATCCAAAATCGGAAGCTGCGGAGTGTTTTTGAGAATTCTCAAAAACACTCCGCAAAATCCAGAATCGGAAGCTGTGGTAAGATTGCGAATGATCAGTGCGGCACATCCCTCCTCTCCCCCTCTGTAGCTCCTATTTTCTCCCTTGCACTGCATGCTCCAGTCCAAAAACCCGAGTCCCTATACTCACCACCCCTTCAGGTGCGTCGCAGGCAGCCAACCCGAAATCGGAAGCTGCGGTAAGATTGCGAATGATCAGCGGCACATCCCTCCTCTCCCCCTTTGCCCACCTCTTCCTCTCGCCCTTGCATACCCTTAACCAGTCTAGTTTTGAGGCGCCTCAAAACTAGACTTCTATCACCTTGCATGCCGTTAACCAGGCGAAAACCCTAAATCCACCACGACTCACCGCCCCTCAGGTGCGTCGCAGGCAGCGAACCCAAAATCGGAAGCCGTGGTGAGATTGCGAATGATCAGCGGCACATCCCTCCTCTCGCCCTCTGCCAGCGCGGATGCCGGCTCAATCTTAGGGACAATGAGCGTGGAGAGGCGGTTGGATGGGGAGGCTGCATGCCAGGCCGCTAGAGATGACCGGAATCCTTGTAAGGGCGTGAAGGGGAGGTGGCTGGGGAAGGGGGAGGGGGAGGGGGAGGGGGAGGGGGAGGGGGAGGGAAATGAGGGTGGAGAGGCGGTTGGATGGGGAGGCTGCATGCCAGGCCGCTAGAGATGACCGGAATCCTTGTAAGGGGGTGAAGGGGAGGTGGCTGGGGAACAGGGAGGAGGAGAGAGAATGGGCGCAGGGGAGAGGAGGGCAATGAGAGTGGAGAGGCGGTTGGAAGGGGATGCTGCATGCCAGGCCGCTAGAGCGGCTCGAAAGCCCTGCAGGGGAGTGAAGGGGAGGTGACTGGGGAGGGGGAGGGGGAGGGGGAGGGGGAGGGGGAGGGAAATGAGGGTGGAGAGGCGGTTAGATGGGGAGGCTGCATGCCAGGCAGCTAGAGAGGCTCTAAAGCAGGGGAGTGAAGGGGAGGCTGATAGAGCGGATGAGAGTAGGGAAGAGGAGTGAAGGAGTAGGGGTTGGATTGGATTGGATTGAATGAGAGTGGAGAGGCGGGTGGAAGGGGACTGCTTTTGAGTCGACTCAAAAAGTATATTGTCAAAGTAAAAACCGCGTGTAATGAGTCTGCTTTTGAGTCGACTCAAAAGGAGTAGGGGTTGGATTGGAAGCGATGAGAGTGGAGAGGCGGGTGGAAGGGGAGGCTGCATGCCAGGCTGCAAGGGAGGCTCGGAATCTGCTTCGTGAGCTCCTCCACTTAAAGAGCCGCACCCCCATGCACAGCACAGATCCATTTGACCTGCTGCTGGTTGGAACACAGAGGGCCCTTGGTCCAGCATCTAGACCTACGCGCACCAGGCTCCACTTAAAGTGCCGCATCCCCATGCACAGCACAGATCCATTTGACCTGCTGCTGGTTGGAACACAGAGGCCCTCGCCCTTGGGTCTGCAGGTGGGTCAAAGCGCACCATTCACCTCCACCACCCCTACTCACCTCTTCAGCTCGGGCGGGCAGATCGAAGTAATCATACAGCGGCCGCACGAGCCCACACCCCTCCATGCCCCTCCGCATTCTTCACTCCATTAAAGCCCCCCCTTCCCCCCCTACTCACCCACCCACCTCGTTCCTCCACTCACCTCTTCAACTCATGCAGGTCGAAGTAGGCATACAGCGGCCGCACGAGGCCGTATCCCCCCGCGTTGTGCGCCCCATTCAAGCACACCATCGCATCCAGCACCAGCGTTCGATTCAAGAACGCCGCCTCTGACAACCGGCACACCAGGCTCCACTTAAAGTGCCCCATCCCCATGCACAGGTCGCCTGCCGTCGGCACGTAGAGGTATTTGGTTCCGGAGATTAAGTACTGCTCCTTAGTGATCCCCAGCCAGGGGGTTTCCCAGACCAGGGTTTTCTCGGCTGTCAGGTTTCCCGCCAAAAGTTGGGTAACGGCTGGGGAATCTGACGTCAGCAGGGCTCCACTGGAATTACTGCTGACGCTGCCGCTGCTGCTGCCGCCGCCGCCGCTGCTGCTGCTGCTGCTGGCGCTGCTGGCGCTGGCCCCATTCCCAGTGCTTGTTGCAGCACTGTTGGTGCTGGCGTTGGTGCTACCTTCGCTGCTGCTGCTGCTGCTGCTGGCGGTACCAGTGGTTGAGGGCGTAGGGGCAGCTGACGCGCTCTGGCTGCCGTTAGATGATCCCCCATCGGACGGCTGAGATGAAGCACCGGGCCCGTTACTAGCAGCCTCCATAGTCGCACCTCCCGCATTGGCTTTCGCGCCGTTCGGCTGGCTGAAGTCAGTTTTTGCGGGAAAAACGGCCGTTAGCGAATCCGCGTTGTCGAAAACCGCGGACGGGGACCAATCAGAGGAGTGGAAAATAAGGACGGTTAGGCAGAGAAGCGCGACGAGGGAGAGTAGGTACGAGGGCAGCTGGCGGTTCCCGCGGGCTATGCGGATTGCGCGTTCCAGGTTCCCGCTCACGGCGGACGCGTTGCGCTCGATGCTTCCGCGCGCCCCGCGCATGCGCTCGATGCTTCCGCGCAGCGCGCGCTCGAGGTTTCCGCGTATCGCGTTGTAGGATGCGTGGTGATGGTGGTGGTGCGAGCTCTCCTTCTTGCCGTCCGTTGTGGGCGACGCCATGGTGAGCCTATCAGGATTTTATCTCGATCGTATCTTGAGCCTGTCTTGATCTAGATTCGATCTTGTCTCGATTGTGCCTAGAGCAGCTACTCCCCTTAAGACTTCACGCTTCGTGTCGTTGCTGCCTTCGCTGCTGCTGACTAGATTTCGCTGTCGCTAAGCCTCTCTCTCCTAATGCCGGCATGGATGCACTGTCGCTCTAGAACGGTACATAGAATCTGAAAGACGCAGGTAGGCCCCAAACTAGTATGTATGTGAGGTGATGGCTGTCAGTTGGGCTTTACTGGGGAAGGGGGCACTACCTGAAACGCCAATATCTAGGTATACTCAATTGGAGCTGACTCGAATAAGTTGGATAAGTTGAATATTTAAACACGCATAGCGAAGCATAAGCTCTTTGCTAGATTCGAGACTGAAATTTACTGTACCAGGGTGTGCCATGTTCTGGATTCGTGGTCTTCCCAACCAATCCCAACCAAACCGAGCGTAGAGGTACGGAACGTCCGCGAATCACGTGCGCCCCGCCATTAGCGTTCACGTCCCGGAGCCGTGCCCAAACCTGCTCCCTTGAAATTGGGCAAAAACGGATGAGCACCATACCATACCTACTCTTAGCTAAGCAATTCACTTTCGTGCATTTTCCACCACGCAACTTGAGAGCCCTGAAGTTCTGGCTAAGTGCGAAACGCATCACGCGGATCGTTTTCGTCCGAGCCACAGCTTCCCGCCTAATCTTACCACAAGCCTTGCCTAGTTGCCCGAAGGTTTAGGCCCGCACGAACCATCAAATCCAAGCCACCCATCGCACCCATCCCATACCACATCCCATCAGAATGCTATGAGGGCCTAGACCCTGAGTTATTATCCCCGAGTAAGATGCGTTACATCTAGAACGTTTTAGATACCTCGCGTACTTGCTGCTTGGTAATTTCTCGCTCCTCTAGTACTCTACGTGCTCCTGGCTGTAGACTGAGTGGTGACAAACTAGGTTGCATATTCTACCCCTGGTACTTCCTGGTATCCTGCGGATTATTTATCGGCGTCAACGGCATTATCCGTCAGTCCTGGGGTGTCCGAGTCCTAGTTCGTGTACACTTCTTCACGCGTCTTAAAGAAGTCTCCATGTCTGTTTTCTCTCGGGGATACCGCGAACCGGTCCGGGTCGTTCCAGCGAAGACAGTGTCCAACAAGGCTTGAGTGATCATTAGTTGAGTGATCTCTTGACGTATAGGCCACCGGGACTAACTCCTGATTTATAATCCCCTCCTGACACCTTCTTTCTGCAGCACCCGCGTTGGGGAAGTATGGAGAATCACGTCGGGAGTAACGGGTTCGTTTCGCAGGATGAGATCCCCAAAGTAGTTAAAGACGTCCTACCCGCCGATCCCTTCGACCTTCTTAACTTATCTCGACTAATAGCCGCTCAGGCCTTCACGGCCCGTATCCATACCCTAGAAACCGAGGCCAGTCGGCTGAAGGGGAGCCTGGGAGAAAGCCAGTCGTCGATTAAAGCGTTGGAGGCGAAAGTTGCGGACTTGGAATCGACGGTGAAGGATGCTAATGAGAAGCGAGAGGCTGCAGAAGAGGAGCAGGTAACGCTGTTACCAGGTGATGCTAGTAGCAGGTAACGCTGTTACCAGGTGATGCTATTAGCAGGTAACGCTGTTTCCAGATAATTCAACGTTAAGAGACTTTGAATGGACGCTGTAAAACACTTGCCCCATGTTCTAGAAACTTGGGTACCTGGCTTTAAGAGACTTTGAATGGACGCTGAAGGAGGTCAATGAGAAGCGAGAGGCTGCAGAAGAAGAGTAGGAGACGCTGTCGATTTGACGGAAAGATAATGTGGTTACCAGGTAATGCTGTCACCAGGTAATGCGGCTCTCCCACGAACGTTCGGCTAAACGCCTCGCCAAGCTCTTGGCGAACTTTTCGGCGACTTTTTGGTTCTCCCTCCTTCGTACGGTATTTCGCTTAGGGCCTGCAGTGATAGCGATGCGAACCATCCCTGTTCGACATAATATTTGCTATTGAGTCGACGTTTGGCAAGGCTAATGTTTCCACCCTGCTGTGTTTGGCTGTCTCGTTGCAGGCGAAGCTCACTGGCGAGAAGACCGCTCTCGTGGCGATGGTCAAGAAGCTTAATAGAGACGTCGCCAAGGTTGGATCTTTTCTACACACATATTTATACAAATATATACATTATATTATATCTAATGTTGATATGGGTGTAGCTAGTTGGGTTAACTTCCAGCACAGCTCTCGTGGCGATGGTGAAGCGGGTTAACAGTGGTGTGGCCGAGGTTGGTTCCTTTCTGTCTGCTCTTTGCGCTCCGTGCATTTCCCTGTTGTTGTTTCTGAACCGCCGTGAGAGGATTTCTCTCCTCCGCCCCTCCCACCTCTCTTCCCCCACCCCTTTCGCCTCCTATGAGCAGGTGGAGGCGTTCCGCCGCACCCTCATGCAGCGGCTATGTTCTCTTATTCTCTCATCCTCTCGTCCTCTCATCCTCTCGTCCTCTCGTCCTCTCGTCCTCTCGTCCTCTCGTCCCTCTCGTCTCTCTTCCCCCCCCCCTCTCGCCTCCTATGAGCAGCTGGAGGTCTTCCCCTCTCTCCACTCTCCCCTCCCTGCCGCTCCCCTCTCTTCTTTCCCCCCCCCCCCCCTCTCTCGCCTCCTTTGAGCACTTGCATACTTTCCGCCGCACCTTCATGCAGCAACGCAAGGTCGAGAACGACGACGAACCTGTCTTCCCTTCTCTCCACTCTCCCCTCCCTGCCGCTCCCCTCTCTTCTTCACCCCCCCCCCCCCCCCCTCCCCCCCCTCCCCCCCCCCCCCCATCTGGAGACCTTCCGCCCCACCCTCATGCAGCAGCTGCATTCTCAGCTGAAACTTTGCCTTTCTCTCATCCTCCCGTTTCCCTTCTCTCTCCACTCTCGCCTCCCTGCCGCTCCTGTCTCTTCTCCCCCGCCCCTCACCCCCCCGTACAGCTGGAGACGTTCCGCCGAACCCTCATGCAGCAACTCAAGGACGAGAACGACGACGAACCTGCGTCCGAGGTACGGAGAGGGAGGTTCGGTGGGAAGGAGGGTACTGGGGTTGTGAGGTCGGAGGGGAGGAGGAGGGGGAGGAAGGGGGGGGCGCGGGGGGCAGTGGGGGTGGGGGAAGCGCGGGGGGGAGTGAAGGGGAAGGGGGTGTATGGAGCTGCTAGAGACAAAGACGAATATGGAATGACGGAAAGTGCCAGGGGAGTGTATCGCAAGCCACTGCATGTGTGCACCAGAGCCGTCAGGGGTATAGGGTCGGACGGACGATAGCGAATTTTTAGGGGCTTGAAACCGCATGTGGGCATATTAGACTCCTGAAAACGCCGCTTTTGAGTCGACTCAAAAGCAGACGGATGATAGTGAGCTTAGGGACTCGCAACCGCATGTGGGCATATTTGACTGTTTGAGTCGCCGGGTTGCTGGGGTACCAGCACACACGTTGTAGTGACTGTGTGGCAGGTGGCTTTGTGGGAGGGGTGACTGTGTGGGAGGGATGGCTGTGTGGGAGGTGACTGTGTGGGAGGGATGGCTGTGTGGGAGGTGACTGTGTGGGAGGTGACTCTGACCGACTTGTGATCATGCCGGATCTCTGTGTGTCTGGTTGTGACTGTATCAGGTGGGAGCTACGGAAAGTGCGGCTGTGACTGTATCAGGTGCTGCAAGGAAGCCGCCAGTGCCGGAGCCAAGCGTCACGTCCGAGTCGAGTGCATCTGTGCAGACGCAAACAGGTGAGAGACAACTAGTGACTATAGACAAGTGACTATTGACTAGTGACTAGTGACTATAGACAAGTGACTATTGACTAGTGACTAGTGACTATAGACAAGTGACTATTGACTAGTGACTAGTGACTATAGACAAGTGACTATTGACTAGTGACTAGTGACTATAGACAAGTGACTATTGACTAGTGACTAGTGACTATAGACAAGTGACTAGTGACTAGTGACTAGTGACTATAGACAAGTGACTAGTGACTATAGACAAGTGACTATTGACTAGTGACTAGTGACTATAGACAAGTGACTATTGACTAGTGACGGCTATATCAGTCTGTGTGATTGTATAGACCATGGAAGTTGGTGTGGGTGATTGGGACTGTATCAGGTGCTGCCAGGGAGCCACCAGTGCCCGAGTCAAGCGTAATGTCTGAGTCGAGTGCGTCTGTGCAGACACAAAGAGGTGCGAACGGCTCTGCTACCACATGCAATCGTGACTGTATTGCGGTGTGATTGTAAAGAGTGCGGTTGCGATTGTGGTTGTATCAGCTAGGAGTGTGGGGCGTGCTGCAGCGATCCACCAGTTGTTGGATCAAGCACCGCTGAGGGCTTGTCCCCAGAGGCGGGAGCAGGGCGTGGGAAAGCCAGGGGCTTGCCGCCACTGGCAGGACCAGTGGCTTGACGCCAGAGGCAGGACCAGTGGCTTGACGCCACTGGCAGGACCGGGAGCAGGCACAGCTTCAGGGGTGCGAGAGTAGTCCACATGCTTTCCTTAGGTGACTCAAAAGTCGCTTCAGGGGTGCGAGAGTAATCCACATGCTTTCCTGATCGCCACTCCTCGCTCCCCTCCTTTCGCTCCCGTCCTGTCCCTCCCTACCAGACGTCTCGTCGTCGCTAGCAGCAGGCGTGGCGGGACGAGGGCGGCACAGCAGCAAGGGCACGATACTCAGTCGTGGTACTCTGACCTCCAACAACCTGCCTTCCTCCCTCCCTCCCTCCCTCTCTACCAGACGTCTCGTCGTCGCTAGCAGCAGGCGTGGCGGGACCAGGGGCGGGCATGGCACTGAGAGTGTGGGTTTAACTCACGTGGGTTCCTCCTCTCTTCTCCCTCCCCTCTCTTCTCCTGTCTCCCTTCCTGTCTCCCTTCCTGTCTCTCTCTAACAGATGTGTCTTCATCATTGGCAGCAGGCGTGGCGGGACCAGGGGCGGGCACGGCACTGAGAGTTGACCACGTGGCAAGATCAACGGCTGCTGCTGGCTCTGCCACCGTGGCATCTGCTATGGAACAAGCAGCCCCTGCAGAGGATGCAGGTATGCGGTGGTGTGTGGTACTGTGTGGTAGTGTGTGGTTATGTGCCGTTAATAATGTAGCACATAGCAGCTGCTGCTGGCTCTCTTCGTGACCCCCTCGCTCTTGCTCCTATCCCCTCCTATCCGCTCTCCCACCTTTACAGCTCGGACCAACGCTGCTGCCAGCGGCACTTTACCCCCTAGCAGCAGCGTGAGCGCGAGCCTGCGGAATCTAAGGACGCCCCAGCGAACTCCCTCCATGACGCCCTCGCTCTTCTCCCCAGCCTTCACCCCTTCGGCTACTCCCCCCCACGGCTCCACTGCTGCGTCTCCCCGTGCTCGCACTGAAGGTGAGCCTTGAGAGGATATGACTTGGTATGTATGACTTGCCAGTAGTATGTATGACTTGGTATGGGGCTCAGCGGACCCCCTCCATGACCCCCTCCTTGACGCCCCCGCTCTTCTCCCCTGCCTTCACTCCTTGGGCTACTCCCCCCCATGGGAGCACTGCTGCTTCTCCCTGTGCTCGCACTGATGGTGAGAAGGTGGAGGGGGGCGGGGCAGGATGGGAGGGAATGCTTGTGTGTGACTGACGCATGGGGCCCTGCGCACCCCCTCGCCCTCGCTCTTCTCCCCGGCCTTCACTCCCTCGGCTACTCCCGCCCACGGCTCCACTGCTGCCTTTCCCCGTGCTCGCACCGCCGGAAGGTGAGAGAAGAGAGGTTGGGAAGGGTGGGTGAGAAACGGGCGTTGTCTGAGGCATGGGCCCTGGTGACCGCCTCGTTTTGAGGCGCCTCAAAACTAGAAGGGTGGGTGGGAAACAGTCGTTGTTTGAGGCATGGGCCCTGGTGACCGCCTCGTTTTGAGGCGCCTCAAAACTAGAAGGGTGGGTGGGAAACAGTCGTTGTTTGAGGCATGGGCCCTGGTGACCGCCTAGTTTTGAGGCGCCTCAAAACTAGAAGGGTGGGTGGGAAACAGTCGTTGTTTGAGGCATGGGCCCTGGTGACCGCCTAGTTTTGAGGCGCCTCAAAACTAGAAGGGTGGGTGGGAAACAGTCGTTGTTTGAGGCATGGGCCCTGGTGACCGCCTAGTTTTGAGGCGCCTCAAAACTAGAAGGGTGGGTGGGAAACGGCCTCTGTCTGAGGCATGGCCCCTGGTGACCGCCTCAGCGGACCCCATCCATGACCCCCTCGCTCTTACCCCCTCGCTCTTCTCCCCCGCCTTTACCCCTTCGGCTGCTACTCCCCCCCATGGGAGCACTGCTGCGCCTCCCCTTGCTCGGACTGAAGATGAGAAGGGGGGATGCGTGAGCATGAGGGTGCATGTGACTGTGTGCATATATGCATGCTATGACCCCCCCACTCCCTCTCTCCCTCCCATCAGGGATCCCCGAGCGGACGGCAAGGGGTTTTTCCGACCAGCAAAGGAAGGGGACGAGTCGACTCACGAATCTCCCCTCTTTACCCCTCTTTATCCCTCTTTATCCCTCTTTTCCCCTCTTTACCCCTCTTTACCCCTCTTTACCCCTCTTTACCCCTCTTTTCCCCTCTTTACCCCTCTTTTCCCCTCTTTACCCCTCTTTACCCCTCTTTTTTTCTCTCTCCCTTCCATCAGGTCGAGCTCCTCGAGTGGACGGCAAGGAGTTTTTCCGGCGAGCAAGGTACCCACCCACGCATTCCTTGCCCCACCCCTTTCTTTCACTCTCGTCTGGTCTCGCTCCCTTGCTCCCTTGCTGGTCTGCTTGTGTTTTCTAGGTTTGAAACCTCCTCGCCACTTCTCCTTTCTAGTGTTTTCTCATGTCCCATGACCCATTAACTAAGTCTCAGCAAACTTTTGCACTCTCCCGCTCCTCTTGTCCATCCCCCTCATCTTGTCGCGAGCTGCCTGTCTGTTTCTGAGACGCAAACGAACCCTTCACCCACCCCCCCACCCACTCCCCTCACCCACCCCCCCACCCACCCCCCACCCACTCCCCCACCCACTCCCCCACCCACAACCCTAACCCACTCCCCCACCCACTACCCTAACCCACTCCCCCACCCACTACCCTAACCCACTCCCCCACCCACCCACTCCCCCACCCACTATTCTTTCACCCAACCCCCCACCCATCCTCCACCCTCTACCCTGACCCACTCCCCCCTCCCCCCCTCGGCTATCCGCAGGAACCGTCTGTCCTACGAGCAATTCAGCCTGCTCCTGGCGAACATCAAGGAGCTCAACGCGCACAGGAAGACGCGGGGCTCTCACCCCCGCCGGAAAGCCCCTTCTCCCCTCTCACCCCCCCCCTTTTGGCCCTCTTTTCTTGCTCCCTCTCCCGGCAGGAACCGTCTGTCCTACGAGCAATTCAGCCTGTTCCTGGCGAACATTAAGGAGCTCAACGCCCACAGGAAGACTCGCGAGGTGAGAGGGGCTTTAAGGTGTCTAGCATGGTGTGTCCTGGTTAAAGCCGGTTGTGTGAGAGCACGACTGTTTCTGGCGAACATTAAGGAACTCAACGCCCACAGTAAGACTCGCAAGGTGAGTCATCCCTCACACTTTCCTTATTTTTCCTCCTATGTTTCCCCCATTGTCAATCCTCCGCCTCCTTTCCCTTGTAGCTTTCATCATTTACTTTTCCTTTTTTTCTAAATCTTTTATTGGTTTTTCTCCTGACAACAAGCCTTCTCCTTATTCTGAGACTTTGAAGAAAACAGAGGGAGCTGTTTCGCCCATTTCTTTGAAAATAAATTCCTAGAAAACATGGTTTCCTGTGCATCATTTCTTTTTTTAGGTGCCTCAAGATATTTCTCCTCACCCCTCTCGCCCTGCGTTGATTGAGAAACCCTGAAGAAAGCAGAGAACAAGGACCTCTTCCTCGTTTGCTCTTGAGGCGCCTGGAAAGAATCCCCTCATCCCTTCCGTTCTCCCTTCGCCCTCGTGTGTTGTTTGAGCAGGAGACTTTGAAGAAGGCAGAGGAGATTTTCGGGCCCGACAACAAGGACCTCTATGCCTCGTTCGAAACCCTGCTCAGCCGCCATCTCCCCACATAGCACCCTTCTTCACCGCACAGCACCGCACTGAACTGGATTACACTGCACTGCGTAGAACCACACAGCACCCAAGGAGATCTTTGGGCCAGAGAACGAGGACCTCTATGCCTCGTTTGAGACCCTGCCCAGCTGCCACCTCCCCGCTTAGCAATGCACTGCTCTGCACCGCATCAAACTGCACAACACCACATCGTATGTAGCAGCATCGCACCGGACAGCACCGCCTCATACTGCTTATCAACCATGGGGATGTTTGGGCCTGATCAGGTGCTGCCTTCACCTAGAACAACTGGTACCCTTTCCCATGGTGCTCTTGGTGCTCATGGTGCTCATGGTGCTCTTGGTGCTCATGGTGCTCTTGTTACAGATAGGGATATCTATTTTCCCTTTGCCTTCGCAAGGAATACACCCGCTGCAGCCAGCCTCCTCCGTTACCCTAGCGCGTCTTGTGACTAAAGCTGTATTCTTTAGCATTAGACTGGGAACACGGAAATGGACTGCATGCATCATTCTGGACAGGCTGGACAAAAGAGCAAATTGACCAGAAAGAATCTGCAATAGTATAACATGCTATTGTATTTATGGAACATCTCTGTTTCGGCACCAGACTTCCTTAGGTCTCCAGTGTGCATTGTGTTCAAAAATTATAATAATGTTAGGGGTAAACGTGTGCATGCGTTATATTCCCAATCTGCATACTCAATACATGGCAAGACTCTAAAAAGAATCGATAATCACCTGAGCCTCGCTTACAGGACGCGAGAGGCATCACTAAAACACCCTGCCTTCGTCCTGCTACACTGCACACCCATTTCGCCTATACTATTCTACGTGTCAAGAATCAGTATTGAAAATAAAAACTCCTCTTTTAGCTGCTAGCGAGGAAGTTTTTGAACCAGATGGCGGAGGCCTTGGGGTACCGAGGCTTGAGCGGATGGGTGAAATTGACATAGAGCATGCCGAACCGCTGCGTGTAGCCCTGCGACCACTCCCAGTTGTCCATCATAGACCATGCGAAGTAGCCCTGCACGTTCACTCCGTTGCTGGAGAAACAGGGGAGGGGGAGAAAGAGGATGGAGTGAGTGAGTGGGTGTGTGCTAAAAGTGTGGGCAGTGCGACCACTCCCAGTTATCCATCGCAGACCATGCAAAGTAGCACTGCACATTCACTCCGTTGCTGGGAAAGGGCAGGGAAGGGAAAAGAGGCGGGGAGGGGAGGGGAGACAGGCGGATGAAAGGAGTGAGTGGTTTAGTGGAAGCGCTGGTTGTAGCCCTGAGACCACTCCCAGTTGTCCATCATTGACCACCCGGCATGACCCTGCACACATTGCGGGAGAGCACAGGGGAGAGCACAGGGGACAGCACAGGGGAGAGCACAGGGGACAGCACAGGGGAGAGCACAGGGGACAGCACAGGGGAGAGCACAGGGGAGAGGGAGAGCAGAAAAAAGGGGTGTGTAATGCAAGTGTAGCCCTGCGACCACTCCCAGTTGTCCATCATCGGCCACGCGAAGCGACCCTGCACACATTCACTCCGTTGCTGGGAGTAGACCGGGTGGAAGGGGGTAAACATGGTGTTTTTGAGAATTCTCAAAAACACCCTGCAAAATCGGGGGTAAACATGGCGAGCCGCTGTGTACTACAAGCGACCACTCCTCCACTCTGTACCCACCCACCCATAGAGCATGCCAAGCGCTGCATGTAGCCTGGACGTAGGATCTCCTAGCAGCAAGACGAATCCAGACAGAAACGTACTTTGTTGAAGTTGACCCTCGGCACATCACACAGCGCCTTGACCATGAAGTACTCGCTAAGAGTACACTTGGTAACATATACAGCCACTGAACAGTAAAATAACTTACTTTTTGGCGTCCAACACGTTTTGGAGGTAACTCTTATGGAAGTTGACCCTCTGCACGTCGCAGAGCGCCTTGTCCATCGTGATTCCCTTCACATTGTACTCGCTAACACCGTTCTCGGTAACAATTACAGCAGCGTCCTTGCCATATCGGTTCTTTATCCACAGCAGCATGTTCTTCATGGACTCGGGGGCCACGTAGAGCCATTTCGAGGAGGTCTGTAACGAGGATGAGAACAGGGGAACAGCAGAGAAAAGAACCGCAGGTGAGTTGTTACGCTGGACAAAAAAAGAAAATGAGCCAAGGAATACGTTGAAAAGAATTGATACGCCAAGGGGTGTAGAAATGATCAGGGGTATGGGCGGGGAATAGAACCTAGATTGTACCGCCGTGGGCTTCAGATGGAATGAAGCGAGCGAAGACAGAAAAGAAAGGAATGGAGTACAGTACAAATGATTGTAACGGGTAACGGGGTAACAGTGACGCTTACCGGCTCGCCAACGAAGCTGCCGGTTCGGGGGTTCCTGGCTGCGCACACACGGGGTAAAGGGCAGGGGAGATGGACGGACAGATTTGGGGATGCGACCGAAGGGGAGGATGATTCTGGTGTCAGCAGACAACATCCTGGGGAGGAGGGCGGATAGGGCGGGAAGGGCGGAAAGGGCGGAAAGGGCGGAAAGGGCGGAAAGGGCGGAACGGGCGGAACGGGCGGGAAGGGCGGGAAGGGCGGGAAGGGCGGGAAGGGCGGGAAGGGCGGAAAGGGCGGAAAGGGCGCAAGGTGTGACCCCTTTGATGCCAGGGAAGGGAGGTCTGTTCTTGCAGCATGAAGCAAATTTGAAGCAACCCCAATCTTCCAAGTATATCCTCGTTATACTCACGCGAAGTGGAGACGCGGGCGTCGGTCCACGGAATTCCAGGTCCCGCGGTGCTGCCCGGCCAAGCGTACACCGCCGAGTAGAAATCCAGCCCTAGAAAATCCGTGGCGCCTTTCAGCCGTCGGATCTCCTTGCGGTTGAATTTCGGCATGCGATCGCCAACGAAATAACGCATGGACTTCGGGTAACTCCCGTAACGGATCGGATCCGCGAACCACCCGTACGCGAACTCCATCCCCCGCTGTGCCGCGTTTTTGCTCGCGCGCGTCTCGTCAGCCGCGTAGTGATAAACGCAATCCAGCGCGATTCCGATCCGACCGCCCTGCTGCTTCTTGTACTTCTGGCGGTAAATCTGGACCGTCAGCGAATGCGCTTTCAGGATGTTGTGCGCCACGATGTACGGCTCGGTGGTCGAATTTCCCACGGAGCAAAGCGTGCGGTCCGAGCAGCGGCCCGGAGCCATGCCGCCCGTGCCGTAGCCTTGCACTGCGATCTGCTGCGGCTCGGCGAAGGTGATCCATGTCTTGACTCTGTCCCCGAATTTGCGGAAGCACGCTTCGGCGTAGTTGGCGTAACTCCGCCTGAAATAACGAGCAACGGCGAGAGACCAAAAAGAACATCAGCACAAACGAATGATATAAGGACAATACATTTCTTGGTGTGGTGTACAAAAGTGCAGACACAGGCACACGGTGCTAGTATCGGGGATACTCACACAATGGTGTTGTTGAGCCAGCCCCCGTGGTCGCGCTCGAGAGGGTACGGCAAATCCCAGTGGTACAGTGTAACCACGGGCTCGATTCCGTTATCCTTCAACTCGTTAATGAAGTCGTTGTAAAAGCGTACGCCCTCGTCGTTCACCGCGCCGATGCCCTCTGCGCGTGCGTAGCAAAAACAGCGGGTTGGGAGGGGGGAAGACAGGAGGGACAGGGGGAGTGGGGGGAGAAGGGGGAGGGGGGCGTGGGGGGAGAGGGTGAACGGGGATGGGGAAAAGACTGGCGACAAAACGTGAGCAAACACCTTGGACGGATTCGAGAGGGGAGAGGGAGGGCATCCGTTGAGGGGAAATCTCGACGGGGGAGAGGGGGAGTGGGGGGGGTGGGGGAGGGGAGAGAGGCGAGGGGAGGAGGAGGGGGAGGTGGTGCGGGTGGGGGAAAGGTGCCCGGAGTCTGAGGAGAACAACGTAAAGAGTCAACAGAGAACAGTGGGAAGGGGAGGGGAAAGGGGGGAGAGGGGGGGGGGGGGGGGGTGTAGCAATTAGAGAGGGTGGGAAAGGGTGTGAAGCAAGGGAAATATGGCGGCTAAGAGCTGGCTTACCTGGCACGACACGCGGCCACGAGATGGAGAAGCGGTAGTGCTTCACCCCCATCTCCTTGAGAAACTTGACGTCCGTCTGCGCACCGAGAACAGGGGCAGGGAGAGAGGAGAGGATGGAGCGAGGGTTTGAGGCGGCTGTTTGAATCGACTCGAAACATGCCCGATGGAGAAGCGGCAGTGCTTCACACCCATCTCCTTGAGAAACTTGACGTCCGTCTGCAAAGCGGACACAGGGGTAGGGAAATCAAAGGGTGGCGACACGGTTTGAGGCGGCTGTTTTAGTCGACTCGAAAGACCACAAGGGCAGCAGGCGTAGTGGGGTTGCGGAGAGGAGGGGAGAGGGCTGCGGAGGTGAGGGGGAGGAGAGGGGGGTTGGATGGGAGCTGGATAGCGAAAGAGTTCATGGGCGTTTCTGCTCACCTTGTAGCGGTCGTAGCTCTGAGTCGCTTCAGCGGGCTTGGAGCCATCGGCGATCGCTCCAGTCATCATGGAATACGCGTCCCAGATGCTCGGTCCGCGGCCGCCTTTGTACGTGCTGCCCTCGACCTGCGTCGCACTCGTAGTCACGCCGAATGCGAAATTGTCGCCGAAGTCGACAGATCGCACGCCGTTGGACGACGAGTCCGTTTGTGCGAGACAGTTCTGCGACGAAAGATGGGAGGGAGGCAAGTTGCGATGAGATTAGGATCGTAGGGTGTCGCGTAACGTAAGAAATGTAAACGCATGATGAGGAGGAGAAAAGTTGGGATGAGCTTTAGGATCATATGGTGTCGCGTAACATAAAAGTGAATACGCATGAGGGCGGTCGAGCGAGCGACCATGGAGCGTGTAAGCGGCTGATGCATACGAAGTCGCAGTAACGAAAGAGACTGTCAGAAGTACTTCCCAAGATAAAAGTACCCGAGATAGAAACTCAAGGTGTGGCAAGTCACCTTCAGCATGTAGTTGCTGAACTTGAACGCGGGGGATGGGTCATCCGCTGCCGCAAATGGCGGGCAGGAGGTTAACACTGCTACTGAGAGAGTGAGTGCGAGCAACAGCCCGCACATCCGTGTGCCCACCATTCTCTCCTAACTCTTCTGAGTGCCTAACACAAGCAGCAAACTTCCGTGGAGCTCTGTGCACTGCGAGTTTTCGTGGCTACGCGACCGACTCTGTCAGCGACACTAATCAGAATATGACTACCGAGATATGCGTTGGTGTTTGATAAATTCCTCTGCCTGTATGTTGGGGCCTAAATGGTCGTTCACTTAGTGTTCGGAAATGTTCGGCCTGATCGCTCCTAACACGCGGCAAGGCAGCCCATTCCTGCTGCTCTTCTACACCCGACTGTGTATTTGCTTGCGGCGGCACAGCACTGTCGCATCCCAGTCAAGTCAGGTTCGAATGCTGGGGAATTGCGAGGCATTTTCAATGTGGGGCGAAGTCAACAAATTTGCGCGGAATCCTGTGAGTCGAATCGCGCATTTCATCCCGATTGCCCGTGTCTGTCCGGGCAGGACATTGTCAGGGAGCCGCCCTGGCGAATGACACAAGCCGCTGTCTGGCTACGTGGCGCGCCGCGTGACAGCAAGCCAGCGAACCTCCCCACCCGCATGCGCGGATCCGAATTCCCGCTCCGGTTCATTTCGGCAGGTCCTTTTGGCAGGAGTTTGCGCCAAAATTCGTAGTGCAGGCGAAATTTCGGCCTGGCTGCTTTTGACTGGATTCAGAAGTCTGACGTGAACATGCACAGAAAATGGTTCCCCCTGCGAAACCGGAACACCGTCAGCAAGGTCGTTTGGGCTGACGAACTCTCCGTTCCCTCCGTAACAGATCGCTAACAAAGTCGTGCAGTCGTTGTTAGAGGGCAGTGAAATTTTATAGACGAAGTGCTGCAAATTGGTGTAGAAACGACTGGACTCGGACTTGGCAGGTTGCAGCGGGTACGGCAAGAACCGTGAAAGGTTCAGGGTTTCTACTTTGAAGCCGCTATAGTCACGGTTCTGTGCTGGTTGCCAAACCCCTTGGAAAACCCCCGCCACTGTGTAAGTGCCTGATGACGTGCATTCCGTGGAATCTACACGACCTATGCTGTACAGGTTGCCAAAACCCTTGGAAAACCCCCGACCACTGCGTAAGTGACTGATGACGTGGATTGGGTGGAATCTACACGACTGTCTTCTGTACAGTTTCGGATTTGCCTTGCCTTGAACGCAATCCCAATTTCTATCGAATTCGGTGGTGCGACTCGTACATCGATTATGCGACTCGAACATTGGTTTGGGGGAAGTGAAGTCAATTCTGCTGCTGAATCCCTAGCGGTATAAATATGCTCGCTGCACCCAGTTCATTTCCATCTCATCAGTGTCAATTCAGTTCATTCGTCGTGATAATCCGCCTGCACAGCGCAACCCTCTGCTGCAAGACTCCTCTCGTTTCCTGAGGGTCTTCTCTTCTTAAATCCAGACGCCAGCCTAGACTCTTTCTTCCCGCAGCTAGCTTGATTGCGAAGGTGTCGTGCAAACCCTTTCTCCCGAGAGAATTTCCCGCCAGGACCTAACTTCCAAAGTTCCAGCTGGCTAGCATCCTCAGCAGCGATGGCGACCGTCGATCTTGAGCTTCCCGAGGCATCTCACGGCTGGGATTCCCAATGCGCTCCTCGCATGACGAAGGCACAGCGCGCCAAGCTGAAGGCCGCATACAGACGAGGTAACGTGGAAGCTCTAAGGACATCCGCTTTATTAGCAGGAGCTAGGAGGAATAATCGAGCTTGACTTCAAGTTGACCGTGGTACCTTTCCCTCCCCCCTCCCCCTATCTCCTCCGCAGATCATCCCAAGCAACTCGCGGAGGCCCCTGAATTCCCCACGAGTTATGGCTGCTGGAGGGAGCCCCCCGATTGGTGGGTGAAGGAGCAGCAGGACGAGCAAGAAAAATGGGCGCGCGTGGTTGGGCAATTCGAGGGGCACAGGGCCGTGGCTGAGAGGGTTCGTGGAACTTTCCAGAAGCAGCTGGTTTTGAGGAAGGCTGAGCGCGCGAGGAGCAAGGAGATCCGAAGCACCGGCCGCGAGAAAGGCGAAGGGCGAACTTTCTGAGAAAGGCGGCCTGAACTTTCTACGCTCACGGGGAAGCTTTCAGAAGCAGCAGCGGCGGCTCTGCACATTTTCTGCGGGTTGATCGCGTGAGGAGCAATGAGATCATCTCACCAGCCGCGAGAGAGGCGAACTGTCGAAGTGAGGGAATTCGAGTTCAGGAACGAATCTATATGGATTTCAGGAAACAAATCGATCTCTCGGAGCTTTCAGTTGGCCTATTACGGCGGCAACTTCAAGTTGTATGCGGGAGACAGGACGATGTGCTCGGGGAGAGAGAGCACCTTCGACTGTCCAAGTACACAGGAGTTTTTTCTTGTTTTTCTCCTGTTATTTGTACAATTCTTTCATTGACATTATTATTGTCATAACTTGGAAGTGCCTAGGGCAGGTGCTGAATGTACCCCCCCCCCCCCCGGAAGATAGACAATGGACTTTGTATACTACTTTTTCTTTTCCTGCTTATGAATTCTCAAATCTGCTGCATCAGGTCTAAAAGATCCCTCTATATGGCGATGCACTTGGATGCACACACCCCTGTGCAATGCTGAGAAACTGCATGACGCCAGGGACATGGCAATGAAGAAGTGGTGGAGGTGTAGCCTAGGAGTATTCCACCTCAACTCAATATGGAGCCTAGGTGTAGCCTATGGAGTACTCACTGCTACTCTGCTGCTCTGCTTCCTCTGCTTCACTACTGCTGCTGGGTCCTCAAGATTGTATAGGTTTGTTGTCAAGTTGTTGTAAAGTGTCATAGTAATTCCTCCATGCTGATGTGTCTTCCTCTGCTGTGTTTGTTGGCCATGAATCAAGAGCAGTGATAACTGCTGCTATTGTACGTGATCTTGTTGGAACTGCAGTTGCACGGAAGTCGATGTCAACATTCTGGAAGTCAGTTTCTTCGGGATGTTGCCAACGTCCAAGAGATAGCACTCTCTCAGAAGATCCAGTAGTTCCTTGCGACTCGAATTGAAGAACAAAACCCCATACTGAGTGGCGGCTCTCTCGATGTAAGTGTTTGAATCATTATGATAAAGTTCTTTATCAATTGTTACACAGTTGCCTTGTGTTCTAATCTTATGTTGCGGGAGTTGAGCCATTGAAAGAAGGTTAAAGCCAAGTCCCTCGATGACAAGGACATTCGTAACGTGTAAGGAAAAACCTGTGTCCACGGAATCCAACATGACGCTCCCAATTGACTTTGCCATTATTGTTTGTCCATTTGCGACTATGACAGGTACTGGATGTCGAAGCGGACGTTGATGAGTAATGAAGAGCATCTTGGCAGAGCACATGTGTTGTCCACAGCAACTGTCAAGATACCAAGTGTTCGGTCCTGCAATGACCCGAGCAAGGTTAGCATAAACTTGAGGTAAAACCATGTTTTCAGGTTGCTCGATAGAGTTTTCGTCATCGTCGTCGTCGAAATCTGACTCTGTTGCATGAACTATTGTAACACAGAACAAAGAGCAACCTTCCGAACAACATTTCTAGTACCTAGTCCACCGACCCTTGGCCTTGATCACCACACACACCCTCCTAGGCATGTTATCTACGAGGTTAGTGCAAACCTTTGCAGGGATCTTCTCGCACTCTTCCTGGACCCAGCCTTTTGCATAAGGGGTTGAGAAATAGGAAAATTACGAAGGATTTTAGCGTATGCAAGAGTATTGTGCATGATTTCTGATTGAATGTTATCTCTGAGACTAGCCATGTTGAGGTGTGACCAAATATGTCATTAGCCAATTGGCCCTGTCTTTTCATGGATCGTCTTCGTCATACCGCGGCACGGTAAAACCACAAAAAGAGTGGGGAAAACTAGTGTATACACCGCGAAACTGAGGGTAACATAGCACGGTCGATTATGCACCCTTGCACTATAAAAACCACGCTAGGATCCCCAGGTCCGGTCATGGTGCAGCAGTCGAAGAAGTCGCGAATGTTTGGGGAGAATATCCGGGTTGAGGTCTGGTAAGTAAAAGGGTCACTCCCGTGCAACATACTCATGCTCTCCAAGCCATTCCAAGCCATTTGTCCCGCCTAGGCTTGGAATGACTTGGAGAGCATGAGTATGTAGCACTGGAGTGACCCTCCTTCTCACTAGATCTCAACCCAGATATTCTTCCCCACCAGTCAGGGCTTCTTCGACTACTGCACCGTGACGAGACCCGCAGATTTCAACATGATTCTAACAGTGAAAGGGTGCACAGTTGGCCGTGCTATGTTACCCAAAAATTTGTGGCGGATGTGCTGGTTTTTGGCACTCTGTTCATAATTTTACCCTACAACGGTACGACGAAGACGACCCTTGAAAAGACAGGACCAATCGGCTGATGGTCCCCTCTTTTTATGAAAAGACACACCTCAGTGTGGCTAGTCTAAGAGATAACATTCAATCAGAAAACATGCACAATACTCTTGCATATGCTCAAATCCTTCGCGATTTTCCTAGTGCTCACCCCCTTATGCAAAAGGCTGGGTCCAAGAAGAGTGCGAGAAGATCCCTGCAAAGGTTTGCACTAACCTCGTAGATAACATGCCTATGAGGGTGTGTGTGGTGATCAAGGCCAAGGGTCGGTGGACTAGGTACTAGAAATGTTGTTCGGAAGTTTGCTCTTTGTTCTGGAAAACAATTGTCCGGATGTACTCTTTATATATCTTTTGGCACGAAGTTAGATCCAGTATACTATTATGGATTTCAGTGTTGTGAACACATCCACTATATGCCCCTCCCAAAGCGTACCACCATAAAACATTAAAAGTTTATGCATAATGGTCGGAAATCCTGAAAACCTTAATTAATGCAAAACATCCGGACAATTGTTTCCGTCACTGTATTCGGTGATGTACCTTTTCGAGCCATTTGCGCTATGCACTCTAACTGCTATTGAAAAGACTGTTCGTGTGACTGAAACGGCTTGCTGACGTCATCATCCAGACGAGCGCTATTTGCTGACGTCATTCTACGGATGCTAACCACAGCGTAACTCGACAATATCTATCGAGATTACTTACAGAAATGCTTAAGTACGATTTTACCACAACACATCTCACCTGCAAGCTGGATTGCCTCTGCATCCTCATCGAGAGGTGCAATGGGGTGTGGTGATGTGCGGTGCAGAGAGGTAATGTGTGGTACACATCCCAAAATTGTGAGCCCCGAAATTGGGTTCCGATGGAGGGGCACGCGTGGGTATCACACAGCTCGTGCCTCGCAAGTTACCCCCAGCAAACCCGAATGTCACATGAGGGGTGTGGCGAATTCTGCGACATGGCGATTATGGTCGAAGTGTTTCGCCATATAAAGAGAGGACCAATCAGGGGAGGTGTGGGGCCTGGGTCACACACATGAAACCACGCAGCTTCGGCTCGAGCTTTTGTCCCTGGTTCGGCCCGGACATTAGGCTCCGAGGGAACGCCAGAGGCCTGACAATCACTATGACTTAGGCGCCCCTGTTAATGGCATAGGCTCCCATTGTATGTACGGAATAGTTGCACCTCTTAAAATATATTTCAGTTGTCAGAAAGTAGGTTGCACAATAAACTGAGCGCAAAGAACCTACTTTGAAGGCATGAAGCCAATGGGTTAATCAATTTTAATGTCACTACCAAAGCAGCCTCTTCAGGAGGCAACATCAAAGCGCATCCAACATTTAAACCCCACCGTGCCGCGACCCATCTGCCCACTTGTTCAACAACCATGTCCTTGGCCTATCAAAAGACCGCACCACGTGGACAATACGTCTGAGACTGCTCGCGGGAACAACGACGCGTGCATCTAGCCTCTGCACCTCCTGCAGCCTCATGCATTCTGTCAAGGCATCAACGCGGCCGCACTTCCATGGCTTAATGTATGCGACCTCGTGTGCAGCACCCCCTTGAGCGACATCCTCCTTGCGTGCACACAACAGCAACACTAACTTCCCATACGCCGCCACAGTATCAGGTGGACCATACTCCACAAACGAAAATGCTGGAGCGCCGTGATGAAGGGGTGCAGCACGCGCATATCGGGCCGTTGCCTCACTAGTCCGCACGTCGTTCTTTGGTAGTGCAATCGCCCTGTGCACCTGCACAGAAAACGTTCCCCACAGTCAACCATGCGATGTGAAACCGAGGCAATGGAGGTAAAGCACCTGTGCAGAAAACGTTTCCCAAAGTCGACCAAGACGGGTTGAAACAGAGGCAGAGGAGGAAGGACCGGAGCTGACCTGTGCCTGAGTGCTGGAGAAGCTGTGCCTCTGCATGACCCGGCGATACCCAGCCAGAATTCCACCCGTCGCTGAATTGTACTCCATGAACAACGAATAACCGCGAGCTGTAACGTCACACCCATCCGAGATGGTCACTGAACTGGTTGTCAGAGTCGGCCTGCCTGAGGTGCGTGCCTGCCCAACGTTGGAACAAAAATAATTGGGAGGGACCCGGGTTAATACTGGCTGCCAAAGCCTTCAGCAAACCTGCCATAGTCCGCCGAGTGAGTTGTGTCCCCCCAATTGCCGTGCGGGCCTCGCGTAGGACCAGGCGGGGGGCGACCCCTCCACTCTAAGGGGTAGACACGGGAGGAAGATGAGGGCGGGTGTGGGATTGACAGGCATGGAAGGAGGGGCAACCTGTGACAAGGTGGGACATAGTATGGTGCACTGCCGGGAATCCACCTCGCATGGAGCATCAATGGGAGGCAAGGCCTGAGAGAAGGGTGGGGGGGATGAGTAGGGTCTAAGACTGGGTGGAAGTGTGGGGTGGCAAAAGAGGTGTACCAAAACAGTCAATGTTAGACGAGAAGTGTATGCGAGGGTCAAGGATCCGCCCCCTCGAATCCAGTGGGCCAGGTTAAGACGTGATTAGAGGGTGGGTCAAGAGCAACAAAACAAACAACATAGGATGTCAGGGATCACCCCTGACGTGCACCGACACCCAAGAGACATTGACACAGCCCACAGTGGGTGTGCCCTTGTAACCACAGTGGGTGGACCACAGTGGGTGGGTGGGTGTGCCACAGTGGGTGGGTGGATGGAAACGTCCAACAACGAGATACAATGTGGAAAACAAAAGTAAAAACGGCAATCAGCCAGAGCCGCCCCACAGCCAGAAAGAACCACTGTACGCTCACCCGCTTAGCCGCAGTGTTGTACTCGCGCATTTCCCCCTCCAGCGCAGGTGGAAGACACTGCATGGCATGCCGTGTCGAGCTGCCCCCCAAAATGGCCGCTTCATAGGCACGCTTGTTTGATGCCCGGAACGGCTCCTTGCACAAACGGACGTGGGCATTTTCGAACGTGGTGGTCGAATACTCGCGCGGATGACCGCCACGTTGGATGGCTTCGGGCATGTGGTTGAGGCCATGGATCTTAATGAGATTCCAACCATGCCCATCCCGTGGATACTGAGTCATCAAGAGCCGCACCAGTCTGCAGTCACGACCAAGGGGGTGTGGGAGAGGGGGACAAGGCACATGACGTTGCACGTGAGAGAAGAGCTCTGGGTTGACCTGGGAAGCAAATTCTAGGATAACTGTGAGGACCACGATCGAAGGAAGTTCCATTGCCATTCCTCGGAGCTGTGGGCAAAACGATGGCGAGGAGGAGGTTTGACAACTCTGGTCACCTGGCATGGGTAAAGGGACGGCCATGCAAGACACGTCCTGCCAGGGACTAAGCAGGGAGTCAAGGGCATGGGGATTAGACGTGGAGTGAGAACACAAAGAATTAAGCGCCTGGAAAGTTACTGCATAACATGCAGTGGCTGGACGTCCAACTGACACGGCTCTAGGATGCATGACATTAACATGGTCCCTCGCACAAACCCACTCGCGGGTGTCAATCTCCATCTGTTGGATCGTCTCCTCGGTGTAAAACTCGCAACGAATGTGGTTCTGATGCCAATCAGCCAAGAAAACCAACGCCTCCAGCCCCGCCTGTGTAGCCTTGCCCTCTAAAATAAAAGGCAGGATCTGGAACCACATGCAACGCAGGGTAATTCACCGAACGAACCACATGTAAGCAGCATAATGGAAAGGGCAGGCCCAAAGAAACTCCTCAACTCGCAGATGAGAGAGCAAAAACAAAATAAAAAACGTAGGCACTGACCACCAACCCGCACTCACCGTGAGCATGGCGGCATGCTCCGCTGCGGAGTAGTACGAGCTCTTGGAAAAGTACATCCCGGATGGCAATGGTACTCCTGCGAGTGTCGACTCATCAAAGATGGCGAGCACTCGTCTGAGGTTGCGTCAGGGGGGTGGGGGGGGGGGGAGGGTGGGACGGTAGGGTAGCGCATTAAGGGTTTGTCCAGTGATGTCCAATCTTAGGATACGTACAATACCACCAGACTGAGGATGACAATACACGCTACTCACTCATCGAGAGCCAGGGCATTGGCGTCATCCCCCCGCAGCACGTGCACGAGGCAAGCCAAAATGCCACCATACAACACGTGCAACAGATCCGGCATCTGTGCCTGGTACGTGTTGGCCCACCCCCTCTTGGCATGGTGGAACTTCCACAAGAATGTGTGTAGCGTGTAGAGGGAACATGTGGGGAAAGGAGGGTACGGAGAGCAAAAAAGACATGGTTTAGGGTACTCGGAGCCATGCCCCGTGCCCCTGCACAGCGGCATATGAAAATCGCTTAGCGGCTGCTGGATTCACGCAGGAGATACTAGACCCACCGAACGGTCCATGCTGTGGCTGTGAGAATGGCGTGTTGGCAGAGCGGAATGAAGGATAGAGCCAGCAAGTGACATGAGCCACCATGGGTCAGGGTGAAAGGGCACATAGCAGCACGGGAAGAGAAACGCGGCGGGTGCGGGATTGGACTGATGGGTGGAGGAAGAAAGGAAAGGCACGGCAGTTTGTTAGAAAAGGGGATTATGGGACACAGAAAGGGAGCCACTTGCTGCCAAGAAGAACCAAAGACTGGACTAGTGAGGGGGGACGGGGGAGGACGGAAGTGTATAGGACCAAGCTGTTTAGCAGGGGACCAGATGCGGAGCATGCGGCTGTGTATTACAGGGCCGGACAGGGAGAGAGCATCCGGAACGGCAGTGCCCTACCACGCCGCCACAGAGGGTGTTGGTTGCAACATGGGTGAGGAAGAGGAAATGCAGAAATACCCCACGCCCGATGATGGCAAAGGGAAGACGCCCGGAAGAGGGCAGAGGGGGGCAACACCGAGGGGACGCTACGCATAGATGACAAAGGCCATGGGCACGAAGGTGAGTCATGACAATACAGGCATGACAGCGAGGCATGGTGATTCGGAGTGAGGCTAGGGAACTTAGAGAGTGTGAGTCGTGTTGAGGCGGTCAGGGGAGTGAGGCATGGCGTTGGAGGCATTTGAGTGAGTGGGACATGGTGATTCGGGAATGGGAGTGACTGAGGCGCGGTGATTCGGGAATGAGAGTGAGTGAGGCGTGGTGATGGGGGAATGGGAGTGACTGAGGCGCGGTGATTCGTGATGAGAGTGAGTGAGGCGTGGTGATGGGGGAATGGGAGTGACTGAGGCGCGGTGATTCGTGATGAGAGTGAGTGAGGCGTGGTGATGGGGGAATGGGAGTGACTGAGGCACGGTGATTCGTGAATGAGAGTGAGTGACGCGTGGTGATGGGGAATGGGAGTGACTGAGGCACGGTGATTCGTGAATGAGAGTGAGTGAGGCATGGTGAGTGCAAGGGTCTGGTGGGCAGCCATAGTGGGTTTGAGCCATATGGGTCAGTTCTGGTGCATAAGTCTGGTGGGCAGCCATAGTGGGTTTGAGTCCGATAGGTCAGTTCTGGTGCATGGGTCTGGTGGGCAGCCATAGTGGGTTTGAGTCATATGGGTCAGTTCTGGTGCAAGGGTCTGGTGGGCAGCCATAGTGGGTTTGAGTCATATGGGTCAATTCTGGTGCATAAGTCTGGTGGGCAGCCATAGTGGGTTTGAGTCATATGGGTCAGTTCTGGTGCAAGGGTCTGGTGGGCAGCCATAGTGGGTTTGAGTCATATGGGTCAATTCTAGTGCATAAGTCTGGTGGGCAGCCATAGTGGGTTTGAGCCATATGGGTCAATTCTGGTGCATAAGTCTGGTGGGCAGCCATAGTGGGTTTGAGTCCAATAGGTCAGTTCTGGTGCATGGGTCTGGTGGGCAGCCATAGTGGGTTTGAGTCATATGGGTCAGTTTTGGTGCAAGGGTCTGGTGGGCAGCCATAGTGGGTTTGAGTCATATGGGTCAATTCTGGTGCAAGGGTCTGGTGGGCAGCCATAGTGGGTTTGAGTCATATGGGTCAGTTCTGGTGCATAAGTCTGGTGGGCAGCCATAGTGGGTTTGAGCCATATGGGTCAGTTCTGGTGCATAAGTCTGGTGGGCAGCCATAGTGGGTTTGAGTCCGATAGGTCAGTTCTGGTGCATGGGTCTGGTGGGCAGCCATAGTGGGTTTGATTCATATGGGTCAGTTCTGGTGCAAGGGTCTGGTGGGCAGCCATAGTGGGTTTGAGTCATATGGGTTAATTCTGGTGCATAAGTCTGGTGGGCAGCCATAGTGGGTTTGAGCCATATGGGTCAGTTCTGGTGCATAAGTCTGGTGGGCAGCCATAGTGGGTTCGAGTCAGATGGGCCAGTTCTGGTGCATGGCTGCGTCTGCGGCTGGGTGTGGGTAAAAGGGGTCAGTTCTGGGATATGGGTAATGGGGGAAGCCAAAGTGGGTCTGGGTAAGGGGGGTCAGTTCTAAGAAATAGATAAGGGGGGTCAGTTGTGGGAAATGAATAAGGGGGGTCAGTTGTGGGAAATGAGTAAGGGGGGTCAGTTCTGGGATATGGGTCTTTGGGCAACCAGAGTGGGTTCGAGTAAGGGCTTGCTGGTGGGAATGGCTGCCCTCTTTGCCATGGCCGGTGTGGCTTGATGCCCTCTTTGCCATGGCTGGTGGGGCTTGATGACCTCTTTGCCATGGCTGGTGGGCCTTGATGAGCTCTTTGCCATGGCTGGTGGGCCTTGATGAGCTCTTTACCATGGCTGTTGGGGCTTGCTGCCCTCATTGCCATGGCTGGTGGGGTTGATGCCCTCTTTGCCATAGCTGGTGGGGCTTGATGCCCTCTCTAGCCTAGTACACCACTCAATTTTTTTCTTGGTATCCCGCTGTGCCACATGTTGCAGATGAGAAGAGCTTTGGCCTTCTGAGCTGGCACTTGTTCAACGGTCTGCCGTTCGCCCACGAGGCCTTTGAGTCAGGCATTGTGGTGGCGCTCTTCAAAAACAAGCCTCCCCCAATCATTGTTAAGCTTTACCACATCGCATTTTTCTTGATGGGGGTGAGTGGCGCTCATGAGAGCTTGGCGTACTTGGCGCGGATGTGGTTTAGACCGTACTTGTATGCAAGCTGTTGCCCCACCTTTGTTGCCGTGGCCGCAGGTGGAGCACCGCATTCTCCATAACGACAAGGATTTGGAGCACACTGCAGTCAAGAATGCCAGGCTCACCACCGACTACCTGAAGAAGGTGACCGCATGGTGCAAGGCGGCCATCATGGCTCCCTCGGTGAATGGCAGCGGGCCATGGTACAAATCGGAGCACAAGGCGTGGGCGTTCTCTGCGGAACCTGCTATCCTCATCTCTACCGACGGTATTGAGAACACGGAAGGCATCGATCGAGCCGCACTTTCTGCCGATGCCCCACCAGCATAGACGTCTTGCTACTGGTGTTGGCAAAGGAGGGACCAAGGTAGGTCACTCAAAGAGGGGGAGTGCACTAGTTTTACTAGTGGCTTATGGGGGCGTGGTGTGGAGGATGAGCCTCCTGAATTTGGACCGGCGGGCATGGGTTAGCAAAGAAAATCAGGGGCGGGATCCGGAATGTGGCATGTGCGAACCCTATTCGACATGACGAATTTTGTCAACACATGGATGCACGTAATCATGTACCAGAAAGAATGGTGTTGTATGCGGATTTGATTCACCGGTATTCTGCGATGTGCTGCTGTTTTGTATCGTGTAAGGGGGCTGTTCCTTCCAGCTAGAGCAAGCGCTTGAATTGATGTGACCACTTATAGTGGTTATGTTTGACATTACAAATGCTCGATTTCTAATTCCCTTATCTTGCTATCGTGTTGCGTAGTACCGGACGGTACAGTGATGTATGTGTTGACGTGGCATACCGAACGTTGGTCGACTCTATCACACCCACCACGGTTGCTGATTGGGCACACCCTAATCCTCTCGTGGTGCTTGGTCGATTTGCTATTTAGCTGGACCACCTCCTCCACAAATGCCTCTGTCGGCACTTACACGGTCAGTGCTTTCCTGTGTCACCCCTTCCCGCACAGACAGCTCTGCCCGCCGTGCCTTTCCACTACGAGTAGTTTAAACTTGTGTCGCAGCGTGGTGGCGGCGTAGCCGCCAAGATGCGACTGGGGTTGCGAAGTCGCCCGCGGGGACGGTGGCCAGAGCGCCGCGTGGAAACGACGACGAAACTGAGTTGGCGCTAGACGCTGCGAATGGGGAATGATAATGGCCTAGATAGAGCCCGCCGCCTCGCGTGTTTCAACCGCAATGCGGCTCTTGCGGAATCACGAGACACGAGAGCTGCTAACAGAAAGGCGCTTTACTCGCTTCCGTCGTGAGGGCGTCAGGCGTGGCAGTGTGAGTGAGGGAGCGGGTGTGTTTGAGAGCGAGGCGTGACTGTGCGATAATGCTATACAAGCTGTGTTTATTTTTGTTCTTATCGTCGTGCTCAGATTCATCGGCGCCCTTCCTGCGCCCAGCATTTCTGACCCATTCTTGCTTCCTGTTCGCTCCCTTTACCATGTTTGCAGTTCGAGTGCTGCAGGGCTGTGAGGCGGCTTGGAGTCGATACGACATCGTGCCTTTTGCTTGCTTGAGTCCCAGTGTCGAGTGTGACCTATTGGAGACCAGTACCATATCTTTGTAAGTTGTAGCCGTGGCTGTAACCCGATGCAGTGTTGGACCATGGACGGAGAAGTGGGGCCGGCGGGATAAAAAAGGGGATTTCAGGTTGGAAACCTGCCGAGTGCAGTGTTCCGCCCATTGTCTACAGTACCACGTATCTGATGTGAGATGTCTGGTTCACCGTCGACTTTCTCTCTGTCATGCTCTGCAGATCGTTCCCCTCCATGTACCTAACAGGGCCTCTCCCACCCTCCATTGGTAGTCTCTCTGCTCTCGCCTCTCTGTAAGCCTCTCTTGACTAGTACCTGTGACCGCCTTGCCTGACTCTCTTGCAAGCCTTTCCCCTCCTACACTCTTCACAGTTCGCCGTCTAGCCGACCCACGATGTGCTCCGGCTGTCAGTGACGGGGCCGTCCGGCATTCCCTAGGTGGCAGGCGTGATGATCTGCAGTTCGAGTACCAATCACCCCAGGTATGTCGTGCGAGTCGCAACAATGCTAGTAGTAGTGCGCGTATGATGTGCCTTCGCGTTCCCAGCATTTTTCATAGGTGCGTTCAACACTGTCGTTGCCGTGTTTCCGTAAGCCCATGTCAGCCTTCTGCCCCTGTGTCTCCTCGTCGAGTCCCCTGCTCGTGACATTGTTTGCTTGAAACTCGTTCTCGCCTTATGCCTAGTTCGGCAAATGCGGATTCCGCCAGCACGACCCCTCCGCCGATCCCAGCAGTGCAGAGAAGGCGGATGCCAGCACGAATGGCGCAGGCAGCCATGGCTCAGGGCCAGCGACTGCGGAGTGGCTGCGCCGATGGGCGGCAGCAGGCGCCCGGTTCTCCACCCTGCGGAGCGCAGACCACACCCAGCCAGCAGGGCGGACTCCTGAGTTGTTCTGCACCCATCACCGAGCTACAAGCCTGAAGGTCTGGGGTATGCCCACCTCTCCCCCTCGATGCTGTCCTGTGGCGTTTAGTCCTTTTTCGTTGTTTGCCTGTCTTTTACCTTTCCTGCGGCATGGAATGGCTACTGCTGTCTACGTTTGACTCCACAATATTGCAATATGGCCCTCTACGTGTGACTCCTGAACATTCCACCTACCGCCCCCCGGGCTGATCATGCGTTTTCTCCTGTCTCACAGCGCAGATGCTCAGTTAGCGAGCTGGATCGCTCCGATTCCGGCTGCCGTTGTGGGTCAACTGACGTGTGAGATGGTGGGAGTCTTTGTTTCATCGCGCTCGTCTGGTGAGCTACATAATGTGCTGTCGTTTACGTAGTTGTTTGTTTCGTAACCATGCCATCATGTCTCTAAGGTTCAACTGCCCATACACTTCCTCCACATTCCTGAGAGCATCCCCTGACTCGGTTGCATGTCTTTCATACATGACCTCCCCAAACATCCGCACCCCCCCTCCCCTCCTCCCCCAACCCCCCCCCCCCCCCCCCCCCCCATCCCCATCACCCACACCCCCACTTCCTCCCCCCCCAGACATGACTCTGGCGGTGTTTGAGCTCAACCTGTTATCGTCTCTGGGACGGGTGCAAAAGCACATGCGTGAGGCCTGGACGGGTAAGGGCTAGTGGGGAGGGGCTGCGGGAACGTGCTGGGGGAGAAGGGGGGTGGGGGGGGGGGGGGGGGGGCGCAGGGAGTGGGGGGGGGAAGTTGGTGCTGGGGGGGGGATGCGTAGGGATGAGCATGTGGATCAGGGGTGGTGGACTGTCACTCCTTCGTGCACCTGCCCCTCCCTCTACCCCCATTTACTCTGCACACTCTCCTCCCCTGGCTCCGTGTTTTCCATTGCAGCCTCTCTTCGTTTCCTTTGTTCAACAATTCAAGATGTGCAGGTCCATGTGCTGTCTAGTGACGGCTGGGTTGCCCGCCGTGCGTGATTAGCGACACATTGAGCCAAGTTTCTTGAGCTTGCGGTGATTCGTCTCATTTCGCTGCGGCACACAACAAGGTCTGTCCCCCGGCCACTTGCTGTGGTAATTCATGCTTGCGTGCTCCGTCCCAGGCGCTGAGCCCAAAATATCTTGTGGGATGGGCTTAGTTTGGCGCGGAGGGTTTTACTGGGATTGATTTTAGTTGATGTCTGGCCAGGATGGATCTTGTGATAGTGTGTTGAGCGACTCCAAGCCTGGCACCTCAGCAACATTCGCATGTAGTGCGCGTTAAACCCTGGTTTATACGGCCCAATCCTGCAGTGTACACAGGTCATGGTTATATCTGCATTCGTTTCAATTAAGGAAATTGGACAACTGCTATGGTCACTAAAGCTGTATTTGTATGCTCACGCACATGCCCAACATAAAATGTATTCGATTATCGAAGCGCACCCTACCAGATTTACCATACTCGTTGTTGTCACTTTTCATTGACGGTTGTGCATACATGTCACGAAAACATGATCCTGTAGCATTTTGTGCGTGTACCTTACGTTTGTTGAAGTTGATACTGCGTCACTCTAATACGGATATAATGACATCCGTTGTTGTCGCGCTCCATTGACAGTTGAGAAATTTTATAGTATGCCGCGTCGTCGTAGCCTTATTACACAAAAAACACTTTATGTCGCGTTATGGGTTAGTGACGAAACCCTTTTAAGTGCGGATAATAATCAGTTGCAATGTTTGCATATTTTAGTACGCAAATCGCAACATGTCATGTTGGTGTAGGGGCACTAACACAATTTTGGGCGGAGTTTCAAAGGCGAACGCGCTGCGGTTTGATGTGTCCCTCAGGGTTCCTGTGGTGATCAAATACGTGACACGCACGTCACCCCATGCGGGTCACCTGCGGGTGACAACGAATGGAGTTTTGGCCGAGGGGGACAGGGGGAACTGGTGCCCAGCGACACGAGGGTTACCCTCATGAGGGATACCCCGAGGATACTTGTGCCCAACATGTTATGAATGGGACTGCCGAGTAGCGCGGAGGGCAATGGCGAAACTGTGAACAAGTGAATGACAATAAAATGAAAGACAATACAATATATAGAAAGCCTAGGGTGATCCTGGACGTAGGATCGGAAGGTTCGGGAAAGGTATCGAAGGGCCTCGATGTGTCATAGCGAGGTCCGGAAAGGCCCAGGAGGCTCGAACTGGAAGGTCTGGAACCCTGGCGATGGTTCGGGACTGTTCGAGTCGTACGCCATGTAGCAAAACCTCAGTAAGGAATTCCTAATTCCTTACACTCTCCCCCCTTCTAGATAAGCACACAAATAACAAAAACTACACACACTCTAACTGAATCTCGTAGTAGTGAAGCCACCACTGCTGAGAATCTCGACTTCTTCAAGGAAACTCCATCCAACGGTCGAAACGTGTCGAAACGATCGCCGTCGATCGTAGCCGTCGAAGCTTGGTCGAATTACCCAGATAACCAAACGGGCAGTAAGGATACTACCGCACCACAGCTTCCTTGTCTCCAGCGAATCCTTCGCCGAGAATTACAAACCATGTCGTCGTGTACTGTATCCGCACAGTAACACCACGTTATTCACGTTGCTGCAAGTTGGCGAGCCGAATCTTCTGCATAGCGCCAAACTTGTCCGTAGCTCCGTAACTGTAGATCGCTCCTCGTTTCATTCCACGCGAGTCGTGACACTCGCAGAAACACGCGTCCGTATTTCGCAAAGTCAACGAACTCCTGCTTTCCGTCAAATGCGAGGTCATTCGCGACACATGCGAGAACACGCGTCCGTGTCTCACGAAAGTCAGCGAATTCCATCAGCAAATGGACGAACACTCAACCCGTCCAGTAACCGTCGTTGATGTTGTTTCAGGTGGTCAATATAAACGCGCCTTCAACTTTCGCAAACGCCTGCAAAATTCCCGAAATGCCAACTCGAATCTGTCCGTCGATTCAGTCGGTCAACTAGCATCTATCCGTCAATGCTCATGCAGCGGATGTCAAACTTGTCGAGGGAAAACCCAAAAAACAACTGCTGCGCAGCTGCTCTCTCCCCCCTCCATGAAAAGAAAATCTTCTCTCGTCAATGCTGAAAATACCATGTTTCAAGGTTCTTCAGACCCGAAAATTGAAGTATCTTCAAACTCTGTTCGTCGGGACCAGTCTCAGCGCGACCCTATAACGCAGGGCACCTGCGCCACGTAGACTCTTGCTCCATCCGACGCCGTAGATTGATATTCTGCTCCGCAGAATGCCGTCGATCTGCTTCATGTTGTGAAAATCCGAAACTCTCCCTGACCGGTTCACCGTGCAGACGTTCACGCCATCGCGCGGTGACGGCAGGTACCCCAGAAAAACTCGGGTACAGTTCTCAGCTCCGAAAAACGCATTCTCTGCAGTTTCACCGACTAACCATGCTGGTATTTAAACCATCGCACAGCTCGGTAGGTACCCGTGACCCCAGCTACCGCTCCAGCCAAAAACTTGAAGAATTTCCACCCGGCAAATACCCGACGTTTTAGCGACGCGCCGACGTTTACCCATCTTTGCGCCCGTCCAGGTAAATCCCCGAATGAGTCCTCGCAGCCAAGTCTTCGATTATAGCCCCGCAGCCCAGGGATAATCTTATAAGACTCCCGCGTAACTTCAAATTTTCCGTGACATCAACACGCTTTTCCCACTGCAACAGTAACCCTTGTCGTCCTGAAACTCCATTTGAGGAATACACTCCAGAGCAGGGGTGAATCCGCCGTGTGCCCGTACTCAGGTAAGCGCAAACGCTATCGTAGTTGGGCGAATTAATCAGTCTAATTCGCGAGCAACCGCTTTGCAGCTTACGAGAGGGATTCTCCTTCCCCTCCCTGAAAAAATCGTCTCTGCAAAAATTATGCTCCAAACTGCTTCAAAATTTCTTCCACTGCTGTTTTCACGATAATTACCCCCGTAGGCCGCTGTTCACCCAGCGCCCACGTTCGTCATCCTCATAATAGTCGCGCGCACGTTCTTTCGAAAGGCTCACAATGCCGTCGATTGCAACGACATATCCTCGCCGTTCGTATCGGAATCGAGCTCCGCGCACCGTCCGATCGTCGTCGCAAAAATGCTTCGTTATTTTCGTTAACCAGCTTCTCGCGCCTCCACAGCACAGAGTCCGATTTTCACCAATCGTGCACCTGTCGTGTAGCGTCGAAAATATTTCTTCGATCCACCAGCACAGGGTGATCCGCTGGCTCATCCTCCTTTATTCGTCCGGGAGCGGTCGATAGCATGTATCGTACTACCACCTGGTGGAGATGTTGAAGATCGGGCGACCCAGCCAAGTCAGTCGGAGGATCCGTCTGTCGCTGACTCTTAATGTTTTTCCCAGCTGTTACCCAGTCGTTCTCCTTCTCTGCTTTAGCTCTTCGTCGTTGAATTTTAGCGGTGACCCGGCGATAACACTTAAACTCGACCCGAAGGTAGTTGCTGGTCGTCCTCCGTAGATCGTGGGGTATAATTTCTGACCACGAAAAATGGCTTCCTCTGCGGGAATCCAGACTCGCCGAGCTCGAAACTCCAGGGCAGACGAATTACACCTCCAGGCGGGCATGTCACGCGAGTATATTTCGAGGTCAGTACTCCCCGAAACTTTTCCGTGCCTGAGCCCCACGTGTGCTGCCGTGCGATCCTTGGTCGTGCCAAAAACTCCAATGCCGCGTTTGCTGAACAGTATCCGAAGTCCCGTCTTCACCTGCGTATCGCCTGCCGGAAACGCCGAGCCCTTGACATCAGCTACATTTCACCATGCAGCCACGTCTGCTACACGCGCTCCTGACGAAATCCATTTCGCCTGGGGATTTCCGCGAGCTTGTCGTCTCGTGACGAGCTCCTCGCTCCATTCGGACTCCAATCTGAATCGTCGTTTCTGCTTGCCGAAATTTCCGAAACTGCAACCGAAGCCCCTTTAACGATATGCGAAATGAACAACACACCGGAAACACTCTTCAAAATCTTCGCCATGTCAGGACGGACACAACCGCCCTCGAGGGGATGGCCGAGCAAATGCTGCTCGTCCATTGGGGTCGGATCGACGGTCTTCAGAAGCCCACGCGAACGTAGTAGTTGAAGCATATCATATCATGCTTCAGGACAACCGCGGTGTCTTCTGTAGCGCCATCCGCCTTCCCCCCCCCCCCCCCAAAAATATTTTGCCCTCGGAAACCCAGCGGGTGAGGAAAGTGGCTCTGAATACCAAGTGTTATGAATGGGACTGCCGAGTAGCGCGGAGGGCAATGGCGAAACTGTGAACGAGTGAATGACAATAAAATGAAAGACAATACAATATATAGAAAGCCTAGTGTGATCCTGGACGTAGGATCGGAAGGTTCGGGAAAGGTATCGAAGGGCCTCGATGTGTCATAGCGAGGTCCGGAAAGGCCCAGGAGGCTCGAACTGAAAGGTCTGGAACCCTGGTGATGGTTCGGGACTGTTCGAGTCGTACGCCCTGTAGCAAGCCTCAGTAAGGAATTCCTAATTCCTAACACAACATGTGGGTTGAATTGTGCAGGGGTCATTTTTAGGATGTAGTGCACTATAACACTGCATCTCACCTGTGTTGGGCTGAAAAAAAGGCCTTAGGATCTTTTGCAGAGACTAAGTCCCAGCTTGTAGAGACTTGAGACTTGGAGTAGTGCAGCGGAAAGTTGAGGCAGTTGAACCCTTGTACTAGTATGTGAGAACAAGTGATTGATTAAAGAGACAAGCATACAGCAATATATAGAAGATAAGAAAACAGTTGTAGAGTACAGTTGCAGTAGCGGTTTTATCGAGTCGCACAGCGACTCGATTGTCGCTTCGGTTACCATCCGCGCTGTTGTAACGGTCAGTCGCAACCTCCAGTTGCGACCCTTTGAGTCCCAGACCCTTCGTGTTCTTTGTCCGCCCCTCGTGTAACCTCCGTTGACTCGCGTACCTCTTGTAGTCTTCTTCGAGTGTAGTGTTACACTTCAGAAACGCTTAAGTCTTTTGAGGTACTTTCAACACTCCCCTTCGTTT